ACAGGCTGAACCTCAGTAGTAGTACAACATTGAACAAATAAAATAGAGTTGTCTACGGTTATCACTGGTGGGAAATCTCCACCTACAGAAACTGATGAATCACTGAAGAATTCAAAACAATGCTATCCAAGCAAGTGAGCAACATCCTTGATAGAAAATATGATGACTAATGTTCCCTCTACCCACTGCTGGACACATGTCAGGGATATCAGGCAGATGTTTTTTCTCATTTCATAATATTTTTGAATTTGGAAGAAGCCAACCAGCTCGTTCCTATATGCAACAGCAGATAAAGCTACTATTTCCAAAGCAAACACCACCATTTATATTAAAATAATATGTTTTCTCATATCCTGAAATGATCATACATCACATGCAAGTTGGATGAATAGGAAAAAGCTGAGCAAGAAATGTAATTTTGAGACTTTAAAATGGCTCGTCTCAGCCGTTTAGCCCTGTGAACCGTGTAAACCTCTTATCTAATGCACCCAGCAACACCTCTGCTCTATTGATTTCTGAACCTACTACTAAGTTCGGAATCCTGCACACAAAGTTTTCCACTCAAGCCACCTGAGCCTTATTTCACAAAGGTGTTTCACCAAAGCAGAGTTTGCTGAGCACACCGTTCTCATTTTAACATTCACACACACTCTTCTCTGTGAGGGACGAGATATGCAGTTCTGACTTTATAGGAATTGTTATTATGTTTTATTTGAAGGTGGAAGAAATACTTTTTAATTAAGTAACAATACTATATTGGAACAAATATTCTGTGACAAGTAAAAGTTTTGCTTTCAAAATCTGTGTGTTGGGTTACAGTGGATAAGTGAAAGTATAGGCCTATTTCTTCTTCTCCAAGAATGTTGTCTTCTCCTCACAAGCAACATTTCACAACACATTGCAGTTGCAGATTGTAAGATGATAAGACTGATATCACTCTCACATCTGTACGCTAAATACACTGTACCGCAGCAACCAGCTAACTTAGCTTAGCACAATAACTAAACGGCTACCCTGGCTCTGTCCAAAGTTAATTACATTTTCCTTCCACGACCTCTAAAGCTCACTTTGCACTAGCATGTTTTATTTAATTTGTAACATGAGGTATCATCATTGAATGGGAGATTGTGTGTCAGACTATTTCTTAGCCAGGACCTGTAACTTCCTGTAGTATCCTCTGGTTGCAAGGCAACTGCTCAACTGCAAGACATGTGCTGTGTCTCTCTGCAAGTTTTACACTGTAAATAGTTGTGCATCGTGTGAGGCTCGAACGTGTAGTGTTGCCTCAACAACAGAAAATTAAGTTTGCCACTGTTAGCTAGCAACGTTATTGTTTTTGGTAGCGATTCATTAGTCAGTTCAATTAAGCAAATCAATATTAACTGTGATTCTTTATTAAGTGGTGCGTGTCTAATCATATATATATATATATATATATATATATTTATATATATGTATATATGTATATAAAACACAGAAAAACATGTATAACTTGTATGTGTATAGTGCTGTGTTCACCAGAAATGTCCAGCATTCCACACTCAACTTTTTGATCATGAGTGCACCATGCGGTAGTGAACTGCATTTTGCAATACTTCAAATTGGGTGGCATGAGTACAGAAGTATGCAATTGAAACACAGCTATAGTCTGGTATAATACTTTGTTACCTTTGAACAAAGTCAGGCTAGCTGTTTCCAATTGTTTCCTTTTACCATTGGGTTGTATTTTTGCTTAGTTAGCTGTGATTTAGCCAGATACAATTACACAATAAATCTAGACAGCAGATCTGAACAATTACATTTTGATGAATACAATTATTTTTTTTATTTTTTGTATTTGGTCAGTGTTATTTGACACAGTGGTCTTGTAATGTCTTTGGATTTGAGGAAAAAATAAAGTGTTTAACGAGACATTCCTCACTCAGAGTACCAACATGCCAAAACACACACACAAACTCAATTACATAATTTACATACAGACCATATCGATACACATTTTTAGATCACCTGCTCTCTTAGCCGCCTAAATACACAACACACACACACATGCCCCATGCTGTGAGCAGTGGCCTCATTTGTAATGAAAGTCAGTAATCAGAGAGAAAGAATCCAGAGGTCCCCACAGCTCGCAGAGATTTGAAGATCAATCAGCACACACCACAAACTGGCCCCAAGCTCCACTGGAAACCAACCATGCATCTCACTCACACCAGCACATAAAGAAATCAGTCACAATGTACTGTATGTCATACATTAAAGATGAAAGACACACAAACAACCCACACACAGCAGCGCAATGCTCCTGTGTTGTTGCAGGTAGAGCACCCAGAACACCATGAACAAAGTTCATTCAATTGAAGAAACAATAATGAATATTTAGTTATAAAATATTAGTTAACCTACAATGAAGCAACATGTCCTCATACAACCGGTCGTACGATATTTTAAGAAAAGTTATAACTCATTGTTCACATGTTTCATCACAAATGTCCAGAATGTGACATACACAAAGTGTTTTAAAACAACTGTATTTCTCCACAGGAAGCACATTGATTGGTTTAAGCAAAACAAGTAGAGTACTTGATTAAGTTCAGGAAAAATAGTGGTTTGGCTTAAATTGCTATAGAGGTGCTAGTGAAGTCACATGATATGACATGTAAATGTTTGGGTATATAGCAAGCAAAATGGTGTAACAAAAAAAAAAGATTCAGGGTGGATGAGAACATGTCATTTTTTCAACAATTATTATAAATGTGTTGACAGAACACTCAAATGTCCATAGCTGCCTAGCTTGCCGCTGAAAATTGTTGAAAATCACTTTTGATTTTAACTGAAAAAAAGAAAAAGAAAAAGGCTGTTTGGTTATTACGTGGTTGATGTTTTTTTCAATTACTTAATTTTGATGCCAAATTGAAGAAAAGATAAAGGGTTTCTGTTGTGATGAATAACAAGCACCTCCGTCTGTGTCATTTTACTATTTTACTATATTGAGTCAATTTGTTGGATAAAAAGAGAATTATGAGCTTTATATACTCCAGTCATAAAAGTGTATGAATAACACTCACAACACTTTGTTATATTTCACACACACACACACACACACACACACACACACACACACACACACACACACACACACACACCACACACACACACACACACAATACGTGTTTATAGGATATATCAGGACGTGTGAAAAAAAACGTGACAAATTGGGACATGCTTTCCAAAGGTCCTAGGGACCTGGGAATCACAGCATTTCATATGCATGCTTCCTGGAAGACATCCATCTATTGAGATTTGTCTAATGCTATATTTTGCGGAAACCTGATTTTAATACTACTTATGAGGACATGAACAGGTTTATGTGACTTATGAGCCCCTAGCAACACACACTGATATTTCATGTTTATATGAATTGTGACCCCATAGATACACACTACATTTTCAAGTTAAGGACTATGGAGACCAAGTAATACACAAATAGAGTCTGTATTTGCAAACTATGCCTTATTACTTATGATTGAAATATCTGCATAAGAAGGATCGGTGTACATTAAAAAACTAAAACTTCAACATTAAATAATACTCATGTTCGCCAGTCAGGTAACCTCTGACACAAAAAGTCTATTCATATTAACTTGTTGATACAACATATTAAAACTGAGCAGTCCAGAAACATAAAAAGCTAAGTTAAAAAGGTATATAGCATTTAATTGTGGTCAGTTTACTCTTAAAGTCTTAATATTTTTCAAGTTACAAATTCTCTAATAAACGTTTATGTGAAAAAAAGGATGAAACACTTTATTTGTTTCTACATTTAATGAATTGCTGGCAAAATATATAAATTGAAGTATAAAACCAGAATAGGAGCAAATATGAAATTAAAAGAGGGTGCCCTCATGACTATTCCTTTACCTAACAATAAGGATATTGTATATAAGGATATACTCTATAAGCACCTTGAGATGACGTTGTCTTTAAAGTGTGTATTATAAATCAAATGTATTCTATTATGCTTGATTCATGTTGCATAAAGATGGAACCATGGTGACAGGCGCTGCCTTTGATTAAATAATTCTTAGTCAACTAAAAGTCACAGGATTATGTCAACTTTCCAAAATGTAGTGCTTTTTAACTAAAAAACATGTCTGAGTATTATTGTTGCCAGAGTTGGGTTCATCATTTGCCTGTTATGAGAAAGACTAATAGCAACAACTTAAAAACATTGTTTGTCGACTTAGAACCTAACAACCAATTATTTGGTCATATAAATTGTAAAATAACCATTTTTTACACCCAGAATAGACCACCCACAACCCAGAAACGTTAGCCCCTATCCTCCATTGTGTGAGGCAGTGAAGTAGATATGGCATGTTTGAAAGTTATGAGCAACTTTCTCTTTAGTGTTTTTCTTGTAAAAAGCACGAAACATGACAAGTGTACACTATGTTTAGTTAACCAGTCTAAATAACTTACAACGTGTTAATATAGTTTACCAAAGTTCCATAAATGAGACATGTACAAGTAGCCCCCACTCCAAATAATTTCTTAATAGTTGAAAGACCACATCAAACAACTTGTGGGCAAGAACAAATCAATGGTGAAAACTTGGGAAATAATGATGGAAGTAACAATCTTTTGAAGTACTAGTTATATTATTTGTTGAGGCAGAACATAGTATTAACCTATCATCTCAAACCTTATTTATGAAAGAAATGATGGCATAACTGTAAATAATCGTCAAAAACACAATTTCTGTTGGCTGAAAGTGACCACGAGAGGGGGGTTGGAAAACACATTAAAATCCCTCATGGATACATGTCAACATATTAACATTTGGCAGCTACAGTCAAGCTTATGTGACATGCTTGTACAAGAACAAAACTAATTAAATAATTCAAGGAAAACAAGATAATATCAAAACCAAGCCAAGTACACACATTAACACAAGATGTCTGAGGTTAGGCTGATTATGAAATCCCTACCAATAAAACTGCAGGGAATGAAGAAACAACTATTATTTTAAAGTAAAATTGTACCTCAGACCAAGTTGGCATGTTCTAGTCCTATGTATTCATCTTCCTTTTTAATGCCATGATTCTGTTGTGAATGTAATATTTGATGGCAACCCAGTCCCTGTCTTTCAGAGCAACTGGCTCTGCCTTGAGACAGGAGTCACAGTCCTTTTTACCTGGTACTCTGCAGCTTGTTAAGGATACAAATGCCGCTCAGTAGCCTTCACTTCGTCACCTGTCCACTTGCTTTCATCTTCCCAGCTGTCATAAATGGAAACAAGACACAATGTATTTGAGAAATTGCTCTGTTAAAGTGATAAATGTGGGATATGATAGAACAAATTATAGTTTGTAGTTAAATGATAGCATCATCAAATGTGTGTGAATGATGGCCTCTGTGATCAGTGTATGAATGGTAAAAATGTTGGCATACATTTGCATGTGAATGGGTATATGTTGGCATGTACTGTAAAGTGCATTAGTTGTACAAAACACTAGAAATGTCCTTTAGAAATCCAGTTAAGATCAATACATTTTTCTAATAGAGTAATGTAAATACAAAATGCTTATTTACCTTGCATTCCATTGGAGCACTTTGAGGAAGCTTTGTTGAAGTGAAGTGTTGTGTTCTTCTGTGAATCTGAAAGGATAAATTAGAATATAATGCATGATAAAAGCACATACTGCCATTCCTTCGAAAGCAAGACTTAATAATTGTTTTCACCATAAGTATATTTAGATCAAATAGTGTGTTATTTGGGTTCCAATATAGAAATAGTTTGAACTGTACAATATCTACTACCCAACAATATGAGGACGATGTAACACACACACTCTACACTCGTTGGGTTGTACCATATGGGGACATTCTCTGAAACACATCATGACTACACATCCTAAAGACGATATCTGCTACCCAACAATATGAGGACGATGTAACACACACACTTTACACTCGTTGGGTTGTACCATATGGGGACATTCTCTGAAACACATCATGACTACACATCCTAAAGACGATATCTGCTACCCAACAATATGAGGACGATGTAACACACACACTTTACACTCGTTGGGTTGTACCATATGGGGACATTCTCTGAAACACATCATGACTACACATCCTAAAGACGATATCTGCTACCCAACAATATGAGGACGATGTAACACACACTCTCTACACTCGTTGGGTTGTACCATATGGGGACATTCTCTGAAACACATCATGACTACACATCCTAAAGACGATATCTGCTACCCAACAATATGAGGACGATGTAACACACACTCTCTACACTCGTTGGGTTGTACCAAATGGGGACGTCCTCTGAAACACATCATGACTACACATCCTAAAGACGATATCTGCTACCCAACAATATGAGGACGATGTAACACACACACACTCTGAACTCGTTGGGTTGTACCATATGGGGACGTCCTCTGAAACACATCATGACTACACAACCTAAAGACGATATCTGCTACCCAACAATATGAGGACGATGTAACACACACACTCTGAACTCGTTGGGTTGTACCATATGGGGACGTCCTCTGAAACACATCATGACTACACAACCTAAAGACGTTATCTGCTACCCAACAATATGAGGACGATGTAACACACACACTTTACACTCGTTGGGTTGTACCATATGGGGACATTCTCTGAAACACATCATGATTACAGAACCTAAAACAAAATGAGGACATGACGACTGAAGTTACATAAAGTCAGTGTTCCTGACTTCTGAGGTGTGCTGTTGTTGTTAAAAAAAACTGAAACCCCCATAGCAATAAGTATGGATCTACTTCCCTATTAATTAGATCATGTAAACTGATGCACATTAGGTTCAATTGGAAAACACATTGGCAAAAGGAGAAAACACACAGAATTTAGGGGCAATAAAGATCATTTTCATGTTTTAAGAGGTAGTTACTGCTATCAAATGGTAGGGTTATATCTTTCTACTATGATATTTAGAAACAAGTAACAGTTATATTGAGATTCTACATTTATTAAACAATATATTAATTTTAATTAGGTAAAAGGCATTTTATGTAGGCATTGGACTTGATTGAGACATGAATTTACCTTGTATAGAAATAGTCTAGAGTAAATGTTTAATTACCTGTTGGAAGGATGAGGTGGATCTCTGGCTCGCTTCAGAGTCAGCTAAAGGCTGAGCCGTGATCATGTCACTCACTCAGTTTCTGCAATTTAAAATACACAATAACGTGTCAGAAACCAATTGACTTTTCATGTAGGGGACACAGATTTGAGTAAAAACAATTCACATGAGGATCTGGGCTTGTAACTCAAGACTCTATAGAAATAGTTTGAACTGTACAATATCTGCTAGCCCACAATATGAGGACGATGAAACACACACACTCTACACTCGTTGTGTTGTACCATATGGGGACGTCCACCAAAACACATCATGACTACACAACCTAAAGACGATATCTGCTACCCAACAATATGAGGACGATGAAACACACACACTCTACACTCGTTGGGTTGTACCAAATGGGGACGTCCACCAAAACACATCATGACTACACAACCTAAAGACGATATCTACTACCCAACAATATGAGGACGATGTAACACACAAACTCTACACTCGTTGGGTTGTACCATATGGGGACATTCTCTGAAACACATCATGACTACACAACCTAAAGACGATATCTGCTATCCAACAATATGAGGATGATGTAACACACACACTCTAAACTCGTTGGGTTGTACCATATGGGGACGTCCTCTGAAACACATCACGACTACACAACCTAAGACGATATCTGCTACCCAACAATATGAGGACGATGTAACACACACACACTCTACACTCGTTGGGTTGTACCATATGGGGACGTCCTCTGAAACACATCATGACTACACAACCTAAAGACGATATCTACTACCCAACAATATGAGGACGATGTAACACACACATTCTACACTCGTTGGGTTGTAACATATGGGGACGTCCTCTAAAACAAATCATGACTACACAACCTAAAACAAAATGAGGACATGACGACTGAAGTTACATAAAGTCAGTGTTCTGACTTCTGGGTGTGCGTTGTTAAAAAAAACCTGAAACCCCCATAGTAATAAGTATGATTCTACTTCCCTATTAATTAGATCATGGAAACTGATGCACATTAGGTTCAATTGGAAAAACACATGGCAAAAGGAGAAAAAACACAGAATTTAGGGACAATAAAGATAATTTTCATGTTTAAGAGGTAGTACTGCTATCAAATGGTAGGGGTATATTTTCCTATGGTATTTAGAAACAACAGTCAGTCTTGACATTGTGAACGTTTTTTCACAACACCTTTGTGTTAATGCAGATAAAAAGGCATTTTATGTGTGCATTGGACTTGATTGAGACATGAATTTACCTTTTATAGAAATAGTCTAGAGTAAATGTTTAATTACCTGTTGGAAGGATGAGGTGGGATCTCTGGCTCGCTTCAGAGTCAGCTAAAGGCTGAGCCGCGATCCATGTCACTCAGTTTATGCAATTTAAAATACAACAATAACGTGTCAGAAATCCATTGACTTTTCATGTAGGGACACACATTTAGTAAAAACAATCACATGAGGATCTGGGCTTGTAACTCAAGACTCTATAGAAATAGTTTGAACTGTACAATATCTGTAGCCAACAATATGAGGACGATTGAAACACGCACACTCTACACTCGTTGGGTTGTAGCAAATGGGGACGTCCACCAAAACAATCATGACACCCAACCTAAAGACGATATCTACTACAAACAATATGAGGACGATGAAACACACACTCTCTACACTGTTGGTTGTAGCAAATGGGGACGTCCTCTGAAACACATCATGACTACCCAACCTAAAGACGATATCTACTACCCAACAATATGAGGACGATGTAACACACCACACTCTAACACTCGTTGGTTGTACCATATGGGGACGTCCTCTGAACACACATCATGACTACCCAACCTAAAGACGATATCTACTACCCAACAATATGAGGACGATGTAACACACACACACTCTACACTCGTTGGGTTGTGCCAAATGGGGACGTCCACCAAAACACATCATGGCTCCACAACCTAAAGACGATATCTACTACCCAACAATATGAGGACGATGAAACACGCACACTCTACACTCGTTGGGTTGTAGCAAATGGGGACGTCCACCAAAACACATCATGACTACCCAACCTAAAGACGATATCTACTACCCAACAATATGAGGACGATGAAACACACACTCTCTACACTCGTTGGGTTGTAGCAAATGGGGACGTCCTCTGAAACACATCATGACTACCCAACCTAAAGACGATATCTACTACCCAACAATATGAGGACGATGTAACACACACACACTCTACACTCGTTGGGTTGTACCATATGGGGACGTCCTCTGAAACACATCATGACTACCCAACCTAAAGACGATATCTACTATCCAACAATATGAGGACGATGTAACACACACACACTCTACACTCGTTGGGTTGTGCCAAATGGGGACGTCCACCAAAACACATCATGCTCCACAACCTAAAGACGATATCTACTACCCAACAATATGAGGACGATGTAACACACACACTCTAAACTTGTTGGGTTGTAACATATGGGGACGTCCTCTAAAACACATCATGACTACCCAACCTAAAACAAAATGAGGACATGACGACTGAAGTTACATAAAGTCAGCATTCCTGACTTCTGAGGTGTGCTGTTGTTGTTAAAAAAAACCTGAAACCCCCATAGTAATAAGTATGGATCTACTTCCCTATTAATTAGATCATGTAAACTGATACACATTAGGTTCAATTGGAAAACACATTGGCAAAAGGAGAAAACACACAGAATTTAGGGACAATAAAGATCATTTTCATGTTTTAAGAGGTAGTTACTGCTATCAAATGGTAGGGGTATATCTTTCTACTATGATATTTAGAAACAAGTAACAGTTATATTGAGATTCTACATTTATTAAACAATATATTAATTTTAATTAGGTAAAAAGGCATTTTATGTAGGCATTGGACTTGATTGAGATATGAATTTACCTTGCATAGAAATAGTCTACAGTAAATGTTTAATTAACCCTTATGTTGTGTTCGGGTCTCCCGTGACCCGTTTCAAATTCAAATTATATAATAACTACGATCTAGTTTTTTATCGGAACAAGGCATCATGATATCCTCCACAACAGCTATATAAACACTACAAAACTGATTTTGACAATTTTAGCCAAGTCTGAAGGTCTCTAAAAAATAAGTGTATAATTTGGTGTTCGGGTCTGGTTAGACCGAGCAGAATTGTTGTGGGTGACTCGGGGTCAAATTTGGCCCAATCAAGATTCATCTTTGACTTTAGACACCCCACCCCCTTCATCCACTGTAACAATATTTTTTGCGCAACATGCACCTGGTCTCCCATCCCTCTGGCCCCCCTCCCCCCACAGGAACTTGACCTTTCACAAAGAATATGTACACTAACACTTGAACCTGAACGTGTGCAATATGTTGTGTAATGTGTTTTGGGGCCATACAATAACATTACAACAGGATTGTATGGTTATGAATGCATTAGAAGTTAGTTATGATGTAGTTAAAACAATATTGGATGATAGTCATTATTTGTGAGTGTTTTGGACTGAGATAAATCATGGGTCAAATTGACCCGCGAACACCATGAAGGGTAACAGCTTTCAAACACAACACAAGGCTTAATTACCTGTTGGAAGGATGAGGTGTATCTCTGGCTCGCTTCAGAGTCAGCTAAAGGCTGAGCCGCGATCATGTCACTCAGTTTCTGCAATTTAAAATACAACAATAACGTGTCAGAAATCCATTGACTTTTCATGTAGGGGACACAGATTTTAGTAAAAACAATTCACATGAGGATCTGGGCTTGTAACTCAAGACTCTATAGAAATAGTTTGAACTGTACAATATCTGCTACACAACAATATGAGGACGATGAAACACGCACACTCTACACTCGTTGGGTTGTACCATATGGGGACGTCCACCAAAACACATCATGACTACACAGACTAAAGACGATATCTACTACCCAACAATATGAGGACGATGAAACACACACTCTCTACACTCGTTGTGTTGTAACATATGGGGACGTTCTCTGAAACACATCATGACTACACAGACTAAAGACGATATCTACTACCCAACAATATGAGTACGATGTAACACACACACACTCTAAACTCGTTGGGTTGTACCATATGGGGACGCCCTCTAAAGCACATCATGACTACACAACCTAAAACAAAATTAGGACATGACGACTGAAGTTACATAAAGTCAGTGTTCCTGACTTCTGAGGTGTGCTGATGTTGTTAAAAAAACATGAAACCCCCATAGTAATAAGTATGGATCTACTTCCCTATTAATTAGATCATGTAAACTGATGCACATTAGGTTCAATTGGAAAACACATTGGCAAAAGGAGAAAAAACACAGAATTTAGGGGCAATAAAGATCATTTTCATGTTTTAAGAGGTAGTTACTGCTATCAAATGGTAGAGGTATATCTTTCTACTATGGTATTTAGAAAAACAGTCAGTTGACATTGTGAAAGTTTTTTCACAACACCTTTGTGTTAATGCAGTTAAAAAGGCATTTTATGTAGGCATTGGACTTGATTGAGACATGAATTTACCTTGTATAGAAATAGTCTACAGTAAATGTTTAATTAACCCTTATGTTGTGTTCGGGTCTCCCGTGACCCGTTTCAAATTCAAATTATATAATAACTACGATCTAGTTTTTTTATCGGAACAAGGCATCATGATATCCTCCACAACAGCTATATAAACACTACAAAACTGATTTTGACAATTTTAGCCAAGTCTGAAGGTCTCTAAAAAATAAGTGTATAATTTGGTGTTCGGGTCTGGTTAGACCGAGCAGAATTGTTGTGGGTGACTCGGGGTCAAATTTGGCCCAATCAAGATTCATCTTTGACTTTAGACACCCCACCCCCACCCCCTTCATCCACTGTAACAATATTTTTTTTCGCAACATGCACCTGGTCTCCCATCCCTCTGGCCCCCCTCCCCCCACGAGAACTTGACCTTTCACAAAGAATATGTACACTAACACTTGAACCTGAACGTGTGCAATATGTTGTGTAATGTGTTTT